ATAACCTTCAGGTACTAACAAGAGCCCAACCATAAAAGTGAGGCCACCAGATTACACTGTGTACTTCCAGCACAATATCACAAGGGATTTGCCAACTCAAACATAGGACATGGAAGGTGCTGTGCCTTCAGCCCAGTAGAGGACAATCATCGAAAACAACCACCAGTGCATGTGTAGGCCAGCTCCAAAGTRAATAAATATGCACTTGAGTGAGACTCTCCAGTGATTTATGCAAAGAACAACCTGGTTACTCTGGAATTTAATAGTAAAACTGTACTGAAATTTTATATTTTTTAATGACAAAAGTAGAAAAAAAATTAAGATAGTATAGAAAAACTAAGTAGGCAAAAGTCTGAATAGGAACTAAAAGAGAGATAATTAAGAGGTAATGTCAGTATAACTCAAATTAACCAACCTAAGCAACCAATCAAGTACTTTGTCACTTTGCTTTTTCAGGAAGTTACAAGTCTGACAGTTTCCTCAATAACCAGAGAGACTTCTAAGGCAAGAAGTTTGACACAGAGGGATCACAGAGTTTTTAGAAAAATGGAGAATTTCACTCATGTGTGCACTGAAAAGAAAAAGGCTTGTACAAATGAAATCTACAGAGAAAAGGTGTTCACATAATACAGAAACTCCACTTTTTGTTGCAGTTTAATTTCCCCTGCTGGACTGGTAAAACTCTCTGGGAATACTTGAAAGTTCTATTGTAATCCTGCAGTCTCTTCCCCTTTATAAGGGCTACATACCAAGGTCCTACTAATAAAAATCCTAGGGGGAACCTATAAAAAAAATTGACAACAATCGGGCCTATAATTACCCATTTCTTTCCAAGCAACTTTTTTCATCACCCAGCAAAGCCATCATTAAACACTTCATTGTTCCCTTAATTGTGTAAGAAAGTAACAGTCACTGTGAGATGATTATCGACAGCAGAAACAACAACTTTCCAAGATGGAGGAAAGGAAAATTCAATTGAGAAACCAAAAGCAAAACCCAGGGGAGGAGGCAGCTGTTTAAATTGTCTTCTGGCCTTCTTCCTTAAAAGACAGGCAATCTATATTCAAGTGCAGAAGCCAGTGGTTATATCTGATTCAAACTGTGTCTAATGATAGTGTGTCATGGCCCAGCTGAAGCTGGTGGRAAGCACAGCCACCTGACATGATGCAGATTGAAAAATACATTGTCATTAGGTGGAACCCACTGGAAAGTTAGTGATAAAATTCATTTTGCTCTGTGGATAAGATCTCTTGGATGTCAATTTTTGAATCAAACAGTGATATCAGTTTACAGTAATATCAGTTCAACAAAGATAGAATATGCTTGAATGTTTCCTTTTAAAATCCCAGCAAACAGATAYATGAAACTAGACAAAGACTACACTCAACACCTGGCAAGAATTCAGCATTGATTCTTTACTGTTCAGCTGGCCAAAAAAACCCCATAATTCCTTGAAAAAAAAGCTTTCTAAAAATATAAATAAATAAAATAAACCAATGTTATTAGTATTTGAAAATTAGGTATTTGGCCTGCTTAAATCCCAAGGAAATTAAAGTAGCTGGAAAATATTAGTAGGCAGTTAAATGCATTAAAAATGCATTAAAAACTTTAGATAATTTTTTTAAGGAAAATTAACTGGAACAGCACTTATACCTATGAACACTGAAAACCAGTAAGCCATTTTAAAATGTTCTGTGCTAAATTCAWTTAAGAAATCTCCTGTTAAGTAGCCTGTAACCATAAAGTGTCTTTTGTCTCTCAAATTTTAAAATCCAGAGTTTTACTGAAAAGCTGGCAAATGGAATTAGGGCAGAGGGTAAAGGAGTGGTTTCTCCTGCCTACRTACACACTTTTTATTTCACACAACTTGTAACTTTTAGACATGTCTACTTGTCTGTCAAGTATRAGCAACATTGGCTAGGTGCAAAAATAGTATAGTATGGGTGAGAAGTAAATGGGAAAAAGGGGGAGGAGGAGAGATAGATGGAAAGAGGGACACAGACTGTACAAGCTCGACTTCCTCTAGAGATGAAACAAAAAATATTAYGGAGTTTGCAAAGAACAGTGGATTTACCAGTTGGCTGCCTGTGGAAACAAAGATAAAGCCTGCTCATGTGTTTCAAGATCAGAACCAGGCCCCAAGGCTCAGTGACATGGTTGGAATTCACACCTACTTTCTCATTTCCTATTTAAAATGTAAATTTTTTTTCACTTGGGCAAGTAGAGAAAGAACCAGTTTCTTGGCAGTGTGCCAAACACTTATATTTAGGTTATTTCTATTTTAAAGTTACAAAACCAGAATATCTATATATGTGGCTTACTGGATGACTGGGTCAGCRGGCAAAAGGGGTTCAGTGCTGTCTTCTTCCAGTGCAGCTTTGAGTTTCTTCCCTGTAGCTTTGCTGAGGGACGTTTTAAGTTTCTTTGCCAGTTTCTTAGGAGTGTTTGTTATATATAAAGGCTCCTCTGTACAGCAGCTATACACTTCAACCTTCACCTGGAAATCTGGGCTTGCYTCATCACTGAAGTGGGGGAGGAGAAAATTTCAGAGCATTTGTTAATAAATTGCATGAGCCAAGGAATGCTGTTGCTACTTTACCTATTAAATAACATTTCTAATCAAGGGAARCAATGCCATAAAATTCAGGCACAGACATACATTAATATGGAATCAAGGACTAGAGTACACAGCAGTAACTTAGTGCTGAGGTCATGAGATGGATATTATAATTGCACCACAAACAATTGCAAACAGGAAATTCAACGTTTAGGTTTAAAACAGAAAAAAAAAAAACCCTGTTATGGAAATACACAGGCAAGACATTCAAACACACTTAAATCTGCCCTCTACGCTTACACAAAAATCACATGATTGAAAACCTGTTCCTTCCTATGGTCCTAAATCAGATTGAACTGTTTTAAAGGTATTGTAGCTGCACCCCATTACTGAAAAAACATGTTATCTTATTTAGACCTGATAACATCTGTCATTCACAACTACCTCCTGCTGCATCCTCAGGCCCACAGCCTTTCTCAGTTTTCAGTTCTGCTGATTYTCTTTTCTCAAGCTTAGTCATCAAACCAGAAGCTTAACCTCATCTTTCAGGTACAAATCATATAATTACACAGACGCTGTAATGAAATAATCCCAAAAGCTTTTATAAGCTATATCTTTGGGGATACAAGGCAAGTTAGGGTACCTTTTCTGCTTTTGTTGCAGTGTTTAACACAAAATTATAACGGTAAAGTATCATTCTTTGAAGCAGCAGATTCAAATCTTTGTTCCCACTCTTAACCAGATGTTTAAGATAGTTTAAAACTTGATTTAAACTGAGTGTTCAGGATCTTGATTTAAAGTTTTTGGTTCTAGCTTTCCAGTCTTCTGCAGGAAACTGACTCCCACTTGTTGATATAAGAAGTAAAGATGGGGAGTGGAGTCAAGCACRTGTTCAGGTGAACCAGAACATGAGGTGCTCCAAGAGGAAAGAGACCGTAGCCTGCTGACCACCATAACACTGAAACATTGGGTACAAAATTTACACCTACATTTTCATATCACTTTCAGGTTTGAGCATTAACTCAATGCTGCCCTTGAGGTATTATTCTCTTTCTAGAAAGAAAAATGCTTCAGCATGGCAAAAATGAAAAGAAATACAGATCAAGTGGCACATCTACAACCAGTATCACTTTGCATAAAAACCAGCCTTCTAGAGGTGGGRATCCTCCACCCACTAAAATGAACAGAACCTCCACTGATTCCCTTGCCTACAGCAAAACCTAGTGGACCTCAGCCAGATATCTTATTCATAATCACATCCACTTTCAAAGGAAAACAGCAATATTTGTACTTCATTCAACAAAAGTAAATTATACTCACAATATGGTTACATTTTCAAAACAGATATCTGTTATTGCTTTATCCACAATAGTCACCTCAGTATCAAAAACCTCAGCTCCCATTCTGAACAAACAAAACACTGCATAGCGCTGTGATTCTGGAGAGAGCCAGAGAAAGCTTTTATTAGGCACATTGCACATCACACTACTAAACACTTCCAGTAAACAAAACTATACAAAAYGGTAATTCTGATCTCTAAGGAATTGCCCTCAAATTCTTCCCATCAGATATTTTCATCATAGAATTTTATGGTAGTTGACCTRTTAAAGCTGTTGCATAGGTAAAACAACATACACAAAGGGAAAAGATGCCTACCTCTATTAGGGGAAAAAAAATTGAGTAATCAGGKATGGTAAGTGCTAGCAACTTCAAAAACATTAGTAAGAATGTACTTTTGTTTAGTAAAATTGACTTTACACAGAAAAAATAACATTTGATCCAAGGTCTGTATCACTTGATGAATGTGCTACATAGGATTAGACTATTTTGCCATGCTTTGCACCTCTGACCCTATACAAAATCAAAGTGAAATCAATGCCAGGTGACAGCTGGAACGGATTTAGGATTAATCTCCATGACACAGCAAAATGCATGTACTTGAAGGCTATCCAATAATACACTCAACACCAACYGTCAACTTTCATTCAAATTTCTCATTGGAAACAGCCTCCAATATACTCTCTCAATGGAGACAAGRCATAGAACAATGTGTTTAATCAGAAGTTTCTCAGTTAAGCATTTAATACAACATTTTTCTGTTGCTTCCTCTGGAATTCTTCCTCAGGTGGACTCTTTAGAAAGCAGGTTTAAACACAGAGAACCATGGGACTTGGAACTAATTGAGCTTGCTATAACCAACAACTTCAAATTACAAGCATTTACATAACAAAGAGTAAAATATGGAYCTAATAAAAGGTCAAAAAGGGGTTGAAATGAGAATGAACTTCCTCGTTCAGTTTAAATTTACAGGCATAATCAGCTGCTTATCAGAGTAATTCATTATACCTTACATACTTTCTTTATTGCTGAAGTGATCAGAGTCTTTCCACATTAATGGTATTCGAATATCTAAAGGGGAAAAAGGAAGGTAGGGAAATTAAGTTATAGTCAATACAGTAGATCTGTGATCAAACCAAATTACAAAAAGTTTGTTGTTTCTTTTTTGGATATTCTGGTGATAACAGGACCTTCCACCCAAAGAACAGCATAACTATTCCAAGTTTACTATCCACATCAAAAGAAAATTCAATAATTAGTTCAACTTGAAGTGTCATTTTTSCTTAGAAATTATGCTAGAATAAAGAATATTCTAAATCTCTTTTGAAAGTATCTGAAATAACGTTTCAGAGAAGCTGTGTAACATAGTTCTGAGAGCTAACATTCTCTAAGCCCATTATTTACACCAATGTAAACCACAACTCTGTTGCCTTGTGCTGGAAAACCACTCATCCCACTGCAAGAGGAAAACCTTCCTGTTTTAAGGAAAAGACTGGGATACTTATACTGCAAACACTTCAGTCTTGTTTTGCTAACCACAGAGAAAATACCACTTGTAATCACATTCCCAGTGAGAATTGTCTTAGTCGGCATAAAAAGTTTAGAAATCTTTTTTCTTTTAACTCAAAAAATATCCTTTTACTTCAGAACCATAGTAGAGAAGCAATTACAGAACCATTATTTTAAATCATGCCTGTCATTTTAATATTAGGAAAGTATTTTCTTCAATAAATTTTCCAATGTATCTACTAAATCCAACACAGTACTAAGTGACATTTTCCTCCAGCTTCAAGTACTCAGGTTTAGATATAATGTTTTTTATTAGCCCCCTGCTAGAAGATGAATGCTGTGGGGGCTTTATAAACCCAAAGCTGGTTTCTGAAGTATGAGGTGCTGTTTAAAAATACATGCAATATATTAAATGACACATGATGGCAGCAGTGAACAGCACGAGCACAATTGTCTTGTGAAAAGAAATCTTCAGTATTGTTATAAAGAAGCTTTGCTGACTCCAGTGTTGTCTTCATATGAGGCTGATGAAAAAATCCACAAAYATTATGTTAAGATGCAAAATAGTGCCAGAATTTTGGCGTCAGTGTCATGTATTCCAACAGGGGTTTACCCACAAAACTTCTCGTTGATTTAACTGAAACTGCATACAGTCACTCTGTCTCAGAAGTTGAATGAAAAATTCAAAGTGCAGTTAATTTTTATTAAGAGACATCTTACTATAAATGCTATTTCAATTTTGAAACTTTCAAATTCATCTATTTTTAAGTGTTCATGAAAACTGATGAACTTTCAAGTGAACTGCCAGCATACAGCTTTAGACTTCCAACGTCCTAAAAATCAATACGTCACTGTGTTCTGAAACTGCCTTTCACTTCTAAAGATGCATTTGCATAACATTTCTAAAAATAAAGTTTTACATAAAGAGAAATCGTTTCATTAAAATCATTACAGAAGTCTCTCAAATTTTAAAACATATATATTTATCTCTGTCAGAGACAAAGCACAGAATGTTTCTTGCCTAAAATACAAAGGTCTTAAATTTAGATTCATATGTGAAAGTAGTCACAAATAAAAGCCTTTTTTATCTTTAATTATCACAAACACTTAATGACAACTTTAATGTGCTCAATAGACCTTGTTAGCAATTAGCATACTAGATTGAAGATTACTTCTGCATGCCACTTTCAATATCTTGCTAGCTGAAAAATTTACACCTTAGTCAGAAAATCATTAGGATATATATAGTCAATCCTTGAACAAGTTTAATATGATACTTGTAAATCAGCTTTCAATTAATTCTTGGATTGAAAGCRCTGTCATTTATCAAAAACAAAGATCAATTTTCACACACCTTAATTTCAGTTACCTTTAGCTGTAAACCTGTGTGGATGCAAATTGGGTACATTCAAACACAACAATTAATCAAATTTAAACCCAATGATTCCTTTATAAAATTAATTTAAATTATGGTTGTGCTTTTTGATCAACATTTGATGTGTTGTCTTCTGACAAAAAAAATCAATTAGTACAATAACATAAATTACATAATTTATTCACAAGTGTGGGGGATAAGTAAAAATGATAGAAGTGTGAAAAATTGTGATTAAGGAATGCACTTCCCACACAGTATCTGACATAGTTGCTTTTTGTAGGAGCAACTATGTTCCTCAGTAGTCCTGCACAGCTCTTCCTGAACCTTTGCTGTTGGTCACGATTGCCCTATTTTTATGGTGATCATCATCTGGCATGTACTAACCATATGATACCCTAATAAATTCATAAATGGATGGGTTATTGATGGTAGAAAACCAGAAGGTAATAACAAGTGATCTATAGAAAGAATAAATCTCTCAGCAAAGGCCAAGAACAGCATTTAGGCTTTCCTGCTGTAAACTGGACCTGGCCAGGCTTCCTGACACGAGGATCTGAAGAGGGGCAAGGCATGGCAGCATCCAGCTCTCCCAGGCTGGACTGCACAGTGAGGCCATTGATTCTCCCTCCTCTTCATCTCCATCTATGCCACACTTCTGAGGCCATAACTCCAGTCTGAGAGCCACTGTGTTGGTAACAGGACAGAATCATTAACAGACAGCATCTAATACAAAGTGGTGTATTTCACCCTTCCATGGTCTTTGCCCATCAAAAGAAACAAGCTAAATCTTTCATATCTTGAACAAGTTTTTCATACTAAAAATAGAGTCCTTAAAAAACTCTGATTTTCCAAAGACAGCAGAAGTGTATTATATGACCCTAAAGTCTTCACTGCAGATAGCTCTCCAAATCTGAAGAAAGGTGCAACCACAGCACAGACAGGCAAACAGATGCTTTCATCCAACCACCATAAGGAAGAAAGACACATTCTGCAAACAGCTGTGCTGGCAAAAAACATTATTGAACCATGTGCTCATCACTCTTCTWCTACTAAAAGTTACCTTGCTTAAASATATATCAAAATATGYAGAAKTAACTGAAACAGTTTCAGTAGTGAGCTGTTCTACACTATTTCAYTCCTAATGAAGCAGGCCAGGGAGCACAAACAGATCTGTTAGCAAAGCTGGTAGAACAGCCACAAGAATGCAGCAACATCCACTGTTGGCATAGGCACACAAAACAATAAATCCACAGTGCTGAAGTTTGARAGTAAGCTAGAAAACAATATACCAGCCCACTAGGAATGGCTGTTAAATATTCTTGTTATTGGCCTCCATTGAAGCCATATCTTTGCTGTAGTAATCTGAATTGCCTAAATAACATTTGTATACCAATTAAAATTCTGCTCTGAATTTGTTAGTCCTGCCCTGTACTATCACTTCTAAGTCTGCCATTGCAGGGAGAAAAGTTTTCAGCACACTCACACTTCTATAGCTTTGAAATGCATTCAGTGTTTAGTGGCAAACAAAAAAAAAAAGTATTTCCCTCTGTGTAAGGCCCTGTGAGTAAATGGAAATAGAAGGTAGGATCTTCAAAAGCCCATGCATGACTTAAGCACAAATTCCCTTGAAGCATTAAAGGACTGTTGTCTCTGAACCACATAGACACTTTAAAATACCAACTTGTTTGTATAACAAGCCACTGTYCAGCCAATTAGATCCTATAATTATGTGACTATCTGACCTCTTACCTGATATAGCAACCTTGGCTCTGCATGCCATCCGGACTTTTGTCCTGTTTTCTGAAGGCCTGCCAAAAAAGGAGGAAAGAAAAAAGAGACTTGAAATCTGTGCATTTAGACATCTAAAACTCAACTCTTTAAACACTAAGAAGTGTCAGGGATTTCATATTATAACTAATTTCAAATGCTTTTCTTTAAAGTTAATTTTGGTATCTCTGGTTTAAGAYATGAGTCATTAGTTTCTTAAGAATAAACTGGAAGGAAGGTACACCACCATTTTTTTACATTCCCTAGAAGATTTTACCCCAAAGCTTATGTAACCTGAGTATTAAAAGACAAGTAGATTCATCTTCCTTGTCTTTTCCAACTCMAACAGGATCAAATACATAATCAGTTTTTCCTTTCTGTACACGTCAATGAAGATRCAACTTAATTTATTGGTTCTATTATTGTTTAAAGAATTGCCTCCTCCTCAATTAATGAAATTGAAATTTCAAGCTGCTACCAGTATCATGACTTCCAGAGACAGTTAGAATATCTTCATAACAGATGACAGACCCTAGAAAACCCTAGAATTTTCTCTCTCTGCCGCAATTAAGCCTTAAATTCTAGTCTTAAGCAAATATCAAAAGAAAAGAACCCCAAATGGACTATAAACTACAAAAGATACAATTAAAATGATAGAAAAATAACTCTATAAAGTGTATTTCTTCTGACGACCTCCACTGATGTCTCAAGGACCCCTGCAGACAGAAACCCAAGCAATGCATGGCAGACACAAATCATATAAACAATACAGCTGTTCAGACAYATGTCCAAACACCCCTGCCCTGTTCTGGGCATGTGTCATCACCATTCTGTGCTCACTGACATCAAAAGCAAGGAGTTGAGTAAACCACCACATATATACATTTGATATTATTCCATCTCTAAAAATATAAATARAAGATGAAACACTAAAAAAATCCCTTCTCTTAGTAGGAAAAAKAAATTCAAATGCAATAATTGYAGGATAMCACACTYATTAAGTGCTATTTTTCAAAATCAGCTTTCAGAAWYRTTGACAGAAAAWGCTRTTCTTTCCTCCAACAAATTTCTCCTGTAAGACAACATTTCTGAAAGCAATAAGTAGTGGAACTGCTCCTAAAGATACAATTAATTGGAGCTGATCATGTATTCAAAGGGTTTCTATGCTAAACTGCAATATAATATTTCATTAAATTAATAGCCTGAGAGCAATTGTGTCCTTGCACCACGATTCTCAACATTGCACCCAAAACAAAATTTATTTAGAACAAAAAATTACAGCATTATTCAAATAAAACACATACTTTAGCTTCTTCAAGAGTTATAATACGAGAATATTTTCAGCTGCTTTTCTTCCCACTGAGCGTCGCATTTATCACTTCGCGGTAGTTAACACAAGTGGCCAGCAGAGGGTACCAATTAACCACGATGGGGCCACCATTAAAGGGCCCTTGAAAACAACAAAAAGAGTGAAAAATGGAAATAGCTGTATTCTGACTTGGATGCTTTGTTTTGTTCCTTCAGACTTGGCTAGGTACCTTTTTGTATGCTAAAGGTAATCAAGGAAATATGTCTATCGTGTTACTTGATATTGTATTACAGTTGAATGTCAAAAATAAAATCTACCCAGGAAAACAAGACTTGTATTTAATTTTCTAAAGCAAAAAGATGATCATGGAATGATCTTATAAAGTCATGCGTTAAGGCAGCAGTAATTTATGTTTATATGGGGGAAGAGAGAAGGAAGGATTTAAATCCACATTCCTAGACAGACTACTAAAAATTCATACAAGTTAACGCCTGCTTCATCTTGCTCCCTCTAAATTTGAGCTGTTACTCACTGCTCTTCAGTTCTGCCCGGGCTGGGCTCCTCCTTTCGGCCCCGCAGCTCTGCCCTGTAGGCGCGGATGCGAGCGTTGCAAACCATCAGGTTCTTCACAGCGCGCAGGAGCTGCTCCTTCTGCGTGCTCGCTGCAAGCAGCTTGCAAATGCCTTCTCGCATGCGGACCTCAAAGTTGATCTTCTCTTGGATGTCAAATTCCTAGATATGCAAAAACCCCAAAGGATTAAACAAAAAAACAACTAACAATGTTGTCAATTTTTTACAGGCTCTGCAGTTGGGATAGAAAACTCTAGGTTTTAATTTTGGAGAGCTATTGCAATAGTTACTAAATGTAGAATACTCTCTTCAGGAACAAAAAGAATAAAACATGGGACATAACAGATTTACTATATCCATTATACATGCAAATTCCAAACCAAGATTAACTCACTGTGCCGTCTGAAAGTTACTAAAAATTTATGTGCCTCCATGTGTCATTCATAGAATAGTAACATATGGTCCTAGAGAGGGCTAACTGAACAAAGCTTAYAAATTAGCCACTCACTTTTCACAGTGACCCCTACTAAAATGAACTTCAAACTGAGGCAAATGTGAAATATTTTTAAATCAGAAATTGTCTGTCTTTAAAAAATGTGAAGAAAACACCTTTTTTTCCACTTATGGTTGATAAAAAATTCAGGTAACAGCAGAAGTGAAAAAAAAAAAAAAAGTCTATCCCAATACTTAACTGCTTGAGGCCATGAACTGAAAGTCAAACAGCTGTGGTAGCTTCAACACTATRCAGGAATTATGCCATGCACACTTTTCATTCAAATTGTAAAGGAAAGTAAGCACAGCTGGCAAGTCACTAGAATTCTCCATCACTGCTTTTTGAAGGAGTAGGGGTTTTTTTAAGGTATTATAAAAACTTCTGAGAAGTCAAATGTTTTCTCCGAAAGTAGGCAAGAAAAAGAACACTTATAAATGTGCATTCCTTACTGGCCACTTCAAAGAGGTCAATCCACACTGGGCTAGAAGATATTAAGGTGAGGGATCACAGACAGTTTGCTGTCTCCCAAAGCCCTGCTAGAGGCCACTGATGGTCCATCCCTGGCCAAACCAAATATTTCTGACATGTGAAGAACAGAGCAAATAACAGAAGGTTGTCATGGAATTGCAGGGTTGCACTGCAAATACTTTGCAAGTCAGCAAAGAGTGCCCCAGCCATCTCTGGAATTGACGAGTTCATGGTTGTTTGGTGGTGAATACCTCCCAAAGCTCACCTCAGAAATGTTATGGTGTTATCCATAGAAGTTCTTCTGGTTGTCCCTACAGATGATATATGAAACCCTGGGACCCTGTATGACACCACAGACTGTCCTATTTTTACCCCTCATGGGTTTGTTTTTCCAAGTTTCAGTCACAGCCAGAGCTGGATAAAGCAGGGCACAACACYTCTGCATTCTCAGCACCTGCCCCTCTATTCACACTTTTTTTTCAGGGCTTATCCCAGAAAAGGAAAAAGAAGCGGGAGAGCTGTAAATAGCTTTCATCAATCTTCTCTTCTTCTGAGTCAGATTTTACATGGCTATGAAAACCAAAGCAAGGCCCACACCTGCCCCTAAGAAATAATTATTTCTTCTCTGWGCCTAAACTAATAAATCAGCTGCTACGAAGCTCCAAAGAATGACATCATACTTCCCCCCAGTATTTCCCAGGACAGCAGGCTCCTGCACTGCCCCGGCTCCTCTCCACACCTATCACCTGGTACATAACYACAGTGAGAAAACCAACACTCCTGTTTGGGGCACCTACATGCATCCATACTGGGACTCTCAAAACTACACAAAGCATTCAGTCCACGCTGTATCTCAGCCAAGCTCACATAAAATATTCCAGACTAGCAGTAAACGGGTGTTGGGCCATATCTTAAACAACCACACTGTATAAATCTTATCTGAAGGAAGGACTTAGCAGCCTGATTTGGGAATGTGTGGAGTTCTTTGGGCCTATCAAAAAACATTGGTCAGCTTTTTTTTCTCCCCCCATTCCTTCTAAAAATACAGGCACACCATCTGGGCTTGGAGGAATGACACAGCACTGTTTTGCCATATGCTGTCTACTAAGGCACCGTTTCCCTCGTGGGCTCCATCCTTCCCCCASCAGTGGCAGCACAATCCAGACGAGATTACCAGCAGCTGTTGGGATATTCAGCACCAAACTCAGGAACTACCTAAGCAACACTTCCAGAAAGTGTCTTTGTATTTCCCACTTAAGTATACTTAGTATAAAAATTTCAARTATTTCTAATATCACATAGGTAATGCAGTCACAAACCAAACAAAAATAACAAAAACAGCTGAGAAAATTTATATAGATACTGATGAAAGTAGGACAGGTTGAATGTCTACTTCATCTAACTGCTAACTTATTAATCACAAGCTTTCAGAATCTTATTCCAAGGTACACTTATGATACACTGCCACARCGGCTTCTATCKAAACCYTGTAAGTCTGGTAAATKAATTTRAAGTAAGCAAGTAGCCAGGCAGTGKGTAGGGCTTCTAAAATGAGGSMTATGAAGTMAAGRCATCAGCTTGGGTACTTTGTAGCTAGACATAGGAAAGACCTTTGCTACAATTGACAGCCACAGCTTCACAGACACTCCCGAGTTCAACTTATTTGGGTTTTTTAACCAACTCGAGGTGTAAAAAAAAAAAACCCTCATCAACCGAAAAACAGTGGCTAAAAGACTAAAGAGATGTAAGGGCGCAACTCCGAGAGCCTGCAGAGAGTGC